TTTATTTTATTTTATTTTATTTTATTTTATTTTATTTTATTTTATTTTATTTTATTTTTTTCAAGGAAGAGGGTTTTCTTTTGGTGTTGCTGGGCTTTGAAACCAGGACTTTGTGCAAGTTAGGCAACTTCTCTACTCCTGAGCTATATCCCTCTCTTCACTATTGCTTTTATCAGGTGTTGTGTAATTGTAGTTGTCTGTTGTTCCTTGTGCCTATGAAATAGCCCAATGCCCTCAGAACTCTGAGCATCCTTGGGCATGAGTCTGTAATTGTTCTATTGCTACCTGGGAATAAATTCTTCTTCCATCTCTTTTCTACCTACACACCCTTAAGACCTCTCGGGAAAGTGTGAGTTTCCAATAGTTGCATGTGCTATGAATTGTTCTTATCTCTAGCCCCTTACGTTTCCCACTGGGGTCCATTTGTATGCTTCGAGCACAAGAGAAGTAACCAGAACACGTGTCTTAAAAAACATGTCTCCAGTTTATTATACATTCGATCTCATGCTGTAGAGTTCAGGGACCTTCCAGTCACAGATTGAGGGTCGCATCTCACAGTGTGGCTGGTACTTCATCTCTGGTTTACGTGGACTGGGGTTACTGAAGTGGGGGGGAGGGGAAGGTCAACCTGCTGTAAGCATCATGGCTTACTTATTAGATGTTTCAGAAGAAGCCATAGCCTGGGTCTAAAAATGCCATTTTTTTTTTTTAATTTTTTAAAGGAGATAGGAATTTTGCTTTGTCATTTTGAGCTTAAGTCAAAGTTCTAGAGCCTGAACTTGGCTTCTGGATGCCTCAGATTAGAAAGAGCCTTGTTCGATGTGTGTTAACTGAAACCAGTTCTTAACCTTTCATAGATACGCAGGACTAGGTGTAGGCTAGTGACTCAAAAGCAGGAATCGTTTCAAAACCTACCTTCATCATGCTTGGCTTTTACTACTAGATTGTTTTTGAATAATAGTGACCCAGGGATGTAATAGACTGGCAAGTTCCCTTCTGCCTCCTCTCCAGGTCTTCCCTTGTGGGTTGGTCCAGACCAAGCATCCCCAATCCAAAAATCCCCAAACTGAAATACTTCATCTGAAACCATCTGAGTATCCTATCAGCACTAAAAACAAAAGACAAAAAACTTACACATTTTGGGTTTTTTTGTATCAAAGAAGTTCAACTTAGGAAAGTAGATGCAAGTATTCCAAAATCTGAAACACTTTCAGTCTGGCTCCGAACATTTTGATTCTCAGCCTTAATAAAGCAGAATAAGCAGGTATAAGATGCCGAGTAAGTCAGCAGTTACCAACCATGGATAGGGTCTGAGAGTCAGGGAATCCCTCACTCTCGGAGGTGACAGAGAGAAAGGAAGTTGTGTGAAGCTCATGGAGTCTCGGTGTTTATGGGAAACCTTGTCTGTTTTTAAGTCATGTAGCTTAAAGGAGATGAAAGTCACATATTGATTAAGTAGTGCGTATGTAACCTCAAAATCCTAGAACGGCACTGGCCTAGTACTGATGGTACCAGTATAAACAAGATGTGCACAGAAAGTCAAGCCCTTCTGAGGCCTGGTAACAGGTTCCTGAAACTAGAACTCTCAACCCCAGAGGGTCGACTGAACTTGACCTAATGTGACAATAGAAAGAGCTGGCACCTCCTGCATCCACCTCATGTTGTTCTACAGTGGGGGAGAATAGGAACAAGAGACTTTTTTTTTCTCTTTTGATAAGATAAGGCTTAGAAGCCCAGAGACAAGGCAAGGACAGCCAGGCCGCTAAAAACAGAGGCATCATTTAAACAGCTACTGCTTTGGTTTTGCCCCTGACATTTGAAGAGAAGGAGGAATAAGAGTAGGTTTGCCTTCTGCAAAAGAAGAGGAAGAAGAGGACATGAATGAGAGAGAGAGAAAAAGAGACAGAAAGACAGAGAGAGAGAGAGAGAGAGAGAGAGAGAGAGAGAGAGAGAGAGAGAATGAGAGAATGAATTACAGGCAGGTTTGGCAGCAAGTGCCTTTATCTGCTGAGCCTTCTCAGTGCCCCCACCCTCCTGTCTTGAAGCAGAGAACCATGTTGAGGTGGCTGAGATGCAGGTTTTGCTTGCTGTATTAAGCTTATAGCAGCCAGATATTCTTAAAGATGTGTTTTGACACCAGAACTAGGTGTTCATGGCAGCATGTCTCAAAACTGCCTAAGCATCCTGGGGCCAAAGGCAGACTTTGGCTGTACTTAGAACAATGGTGTCCCTGCCTCTGATCCTCTAAGGCAACACCCATGGCTCTCCTATGCTCAGACCCACCTGGACAGCATGGCATCTCTTCCTCCTCATGGTTCTGAGCTGGGGTCTGGAAGGAGCTGTAGCACCCCCAGGTTTGTGCACAGGATACCCATGCATCTGACACTGTGTCCATGGGCCCCAGTGCTGGCCTTGGGGTTATATTGGCTCTGTGTTTTCATAGTTTTTCTTTTGCCTCTATACTTTTTCCTCACTCTACCCCACTTGAACAAAGCTTTTCTTTTCTCCCATTTAAGTGGATATGTGCTTATTAAATTTTAGCTGCATACTTAGAAAGAAAGGAAGAAAGAAAGAAAGAAAGAAAGAAAGAAAGAAAGAAAGAAAGAAAGAAAGAAAGAAATGAAGGAAGGAAGGAAGGAAGGAAGGAAGAAAGGAAGGAAGGAAGAAAGAAGGAAAGAAACCTGGCCTTTCTCAGACTCCTTTTGTAAACAGATATCAAGGGTAGTTGGGGTAAAGGAGAGAGGTTTTCTTTTTACAGCCATCTGTCAATCTGTAAAAACAAAACACACAAAAAATTGGGTCAGCATCATCCCACGTGGAACCCAGGCACCCACCCCTGAGCTACAGAAACAAGTATTGCAAAGGTCATTGACCTCCACAAATATTTATATGCTCTTTGCCAACCCTCACCATGGGACTATAAGGAAACACAGACTTGGCCAGCGAATATCTGTAGGAAAGGAAACAGAAGGACTGGATTCCTGCTTTTCCTCTCTCTGGCCCCAGTCCTTAATAACAAAAACGCCAATGTCTGGCCGTAAACGAAATAGCTTCTTTTTCCAGAAAGTTCTCTGTGCTAAGCACTGAGGGAGTCGGAACCAGGGCATGTTCACAGACAGCTGGGGTGGTTGGGAAGTTTGAGATGAAGTCCCAGGACAGCATCCGTGGTGTGTCTCAGAGAGAAAAATTGAAATCTGGGGTGAGGAAGTTGTCCCTGTCTATGTTCTGCTTTCAAATACTGACCAAGTGACCTTTAGTTCAGTTCTTACATAGGCCAACTCATTAGAGCAAGGTCCTCAGCAGGATTGCCCTGCCCTATTTCAGAGACGACCCCCAAGGTGAGGTCTCCAGGCCACCCATACTTGGGTCTGGCTTTCCTACAAGTTGAGATTCTGTGCCCACTCTTTCATGTTTAGTAATTTTCTGCTTTTCCTCTGTATTTATGATTGGCATTTTGATATAAACTCAAGAATAGTAAAATCAGTGATCTAGGAGAAGGTGGAACAGGGGCTCGGGTCTCAGAGTTTCTGTGCCCTCTCTAGGTGCACTGTTCTCTCAACATCAGAACATACACATATCTGGAAATGTCACTGAGCCTGCGTGGTCCTGGGGTTTTATTTGGTAGCTCACTCCATTTGGTGTTGCTACAACAAAATATCTGTGGCTGAGTACTTATAAGGAAAAGCTTATTTTAGCTTATGGTTTGAAAGCTGAAAAGTTTGGCCAGCAACATGCAATAAAGACCTCAGGAAGTGTCACTAGAGTAGAAGACCGCTTCACAGTGGATCCAAGGACAGAAAATAATACATATAAAAGACAGCAGACGTGTTCTGTAGTAGCCTTGCTCTATGGGAGTCTGTCATGGTAACTGCTCTAGTCACTAGAAAGGCATATTCCACCTCGTGAGGTGGTTCCCCATGACATCATTACCTCCTACAAGGCCCACTCCAGTTCCACTCACCTAACTTAACTGAGGACCAAGTTGCCAGCGTGCCTACTTTTGAGCAACATACCCTATATGAGCCATAGAATAAAGGATTCTGATGTTATGCAAAATGGAATCACTGGTCACATGATTACACTAAATCTCCTGAGGTGAGGCAGGCCCAGAGCTGTTCTGATGAGCTGGAATGAATCAAAGTGCTCCCGTGCCTCCTGCGGAGGTTGTTAAGCCTGAATTAAGCCTGTGCAATTCAGTGGCTCCTGAATCGCACAGGCAGGTTCAGTAGCTTGTTTTGGGGGAACTGCTGACTTTGGGATGATTGTTTTGGGGCACGTGTAGAGGGCTCAACCCCAGCAGTGAAGCATGGCCCCACAGTGTCCCCTTTCCTCCATTTCTGGGCTTCCAGGTTGGGCCCCTGATCATAACACTTTCTTCAGGACATTCTTTTTTGGGACCAGAAGCTATCTCTAAAGTCCTATGCCATGTCTGGATAGTTCACATCTGAGACAGAGTGGATCCTGTCCAGCACAGCCACCTGTCAATGACTGTGTCATCTTTCAAGTCCAGTGGAAATCTCCACACATCCCTCTGTAAACCCTACACAAAGCAGGTTACGCAACACACATTTGTTGTTGAAAGGTGTCTGTTAAATCAACAGGGTGTCCAAAGCAGATAGACAGGAGAGGGGAGAGTGTCTTAAAGCTCCACGACCCCTCTAACTCAACGCCAACGTTCTCTCTTATCTCATTCTCTCAAAGCCTAAGGGGATTTGAACACTTCAACAGCTTTTTGTTTGAAACACGATTAGGAAAAGAAATTAATGATCAATTTCTTCAGTGGCTCTAAATTTACGCAAACAACTGAGAACTCAACTGAGCTGTTGGGGGACCGAGTGTGTCAACAGTGGCCTGATTCACAGGTGTCCTGAGCCACCTCCATTGCCTGGCATGTATGTAAACTCTCATGTTAAGTTTTTAAGTGAAGGAGCAAATGAGTGAATAAGTGTATCTTTTTGTGTCCTCCAACAGACTACAACAGCAGTGAGTTAAAAACAGCTTGCAAGAAGCATGAGCTGTACGTGAGCTTCCAGGACCTGGGATGGCAGGTGAGTCTCAGGGTAAGGAGGAGGCACTAGGTATCTTGATCTTATCTCACCAATGGCTGCCGTCATCAGCTTCCTAGAGCTGTCTGTCATAGCAATCCAAGGAGCCCTCCAATGTTCAAGCTGCTGGAGTTAAGACAGGAAAACCCGGCCTGCTAATATACCCAGTGCACCCTGGCTTTTTGTGGGCTTCTAAGGCTTTGTAACCCCTTAAACCCAAGGCCTACTTCTGTCTTACTTTGCTCTTGCAAAGTCCAAGGTGGGGGGCATATTTATTTGTACATTTGAGTAACTTTTATTTTGAAACAGGATAACAAATTTAAAAAATGTGATGAATTTCTCCAGTAGCTCTAAATTGGCTCTGCCCCTGCATGGAAGAACATGTTTGGCTCATAGACCAAGTCTAGCCGCATGTGACAAGAAACGGGAGATAATAGTTTCTCTGTGTGTAGGTGGCATGACTTTGACAGGAACATAAGGGGATCCGGCAGAGGATACTTTGGGTTCAAGTCCACACATCAGATCTTGACTTCTAAGGTTTTAACAGACCGTGTTTCAGCTGTATGTGTTCGATAGATCTAGTGCTCTGAGTTTTGAAGTTGAGACTTTTCTCAGAGCTACAGTCTCTCCTCTCCTCATTGGTGTCAGCTCCCACAGTGCACTGTGCTAAGCTAGGATGCTTGGTATGTTAGGTGTACTATGGGTACTTTCAACTGACATTTTAGTGGAGTGTAACCAAGGAGCATTTGTTCTTCAAGACATTCACCCACTCTCTTAGTTAGGATTTGACTGCTGTGAATAGACACCATGACCAAGGCAAGTCATGTAAAGGACAACATCTAATTGGGGCTGGCTTACAAGTTCAGAGGTTCAGTCCATTATCATCAAGGCAGGAGTATGGCAGCATCCAGGCAGGCATGGTAAAGCAGGAGCTGAGAGTTCTACATCTTCATCTTAAGGCTGCTAGCAGAATACTGACTTCCAGGAAGCTAGGATGAGGTTCTTAAAGCCCATACCCACAGCAAACATACCTTCAAGGCCATATCTTCTAATAGTGCCACTCCCCAGTCCAAGCATATACAAACCATCACACCCGCTCAATTCCCGACCTAACAGGTTCATAGTAGCCAAGAGCCCATGGAAAGACTGGAAGCTCTAAGGTCTGACCAACAGGCTCAAGGTTCACTTGAATGTGAACTTGGGCAATTCCCAAAACTCCCTGTATGTCCCCATATTGTGCACCATGAGCAATGCCTTCTCTTGGGGCCACTGAGAGTGCAGATGGTACAGGGTTGCCTGGTGATCCTTCACTGCTTCCTTTTGCTTTATCTCAAGGACTGGATCATTGCACCCAAAGGCTATGCTGCCAACTACTGTGATGGAGAGTGTTCCTTCCCACTCAACGCACACATGAATGCCACCAACCACGCCATTGTACAGACCTTGGTGAGTGCTCTGACTCGGCTGTAAGCGGGATTAGGCCTTGATCTGGTGTCATTTCTAACTGTCCTCCCACACGTCTATTCTGGAACAGGTTCACCTTATGAATCCCGAGTACGTCCCCAAACCATGCTGCGCACCAACCAAACTGAATGCCATCTCCGTTCTTTACTTCGATGATAACTCCAATGTCATCTTGAAAAAATACAGGAATATGGTTGTCAGAGCTTGTGGATGCCATTAAGTTGAAGCCAGTGGCGGGGGCGATTCTGCCTTGGATTCCTAGTCTGCCTTAAAACACGAGAAGCAGCACAGTGGAGCGGGATGATGATGTCACGAGCATCTCCTGCTGGTGCCTTAGCCTGAGGAGGATTTTGAGGACCTTGTTGACTTTCCCAGTTCCTAACTGAGCAGGTTGCTGGTCTGTAGGAAGCTGTAATGCTTACAGTACAGGCCTAGAAACTGCAGAAACGTAACGTTCACCTCCCCCAATCCCACCCAGACTAGTTTTAGCTTTTAGATCTAGCTGTTTGTGGTGTAAGTAGAGAGTAAACTTGAAGGAACATTAAATATCCCCGGTTGAAAGATCAAGTGGTTCTACAGCACCCATCCCAGGGAGATTTTGCAGATAGCTGGATGGAGGGGAGGAGAGCACTCTATCAGATTTCATTCCCAGCAAAGGCAGCTCCCACGGGACCTGCAGCCTGGCCATCAAGGGCTTTGTGGAGATGCCTTCTGTCTACTGTTGTAGTTACATGTTTTGTGTTGATGCTTGGTGGTGTGAAAATGTACAATGTACTCATTTCAGTCAAACTGTAGCATTTCCACACCACCCTCCTCCCTTCCTCACAGAATTCTTCCCCCCCACACACTTAAATCAGAAACACCTTTATTGACAAAGAGACCACAGGAGTGTAAAATTGTAGCACACGAGTTAATATTCTTCACCTTCATCATCCCCTTCAGCACTATCTACCCCAACTTCCTCATAATCCTTCTCTAGGGCAGCCATGTCCTCACTGGCCTCAGAGAACTCCCCCTCCTCCAAGCCCTCACCCACATACCAGTGCACAAAGGCTCGCTTGGCATACATCAGATCAAACTTGTGATCTAGGCAGGCCCAGGCCTCAGCAATGGCTGTGGTGTTGCTCAGTATGCACACAGCTCTCTGGACCTTGGCCAGGTCACCACCAGGTACCACAGTGGGAGGCTGGTAATTAATGCCAACCTTGAAGCCAGTGGGACACCAGTCCACAAACTGGATGGTATGCTTGGTCTTGATGGTGGCAGTGGCAGCATTGACATCTTTGGGGACCACATCACCAAGCAGGCAGCAAGCCATGTATTTACCATGGTGAGGGTCACATTTCACCATCTGGTTGGCTGGCTCAAAGCAGGCATTGGTGATCTCTGCTACAGAGAGCTGCTCATGGTAGGCTTTCTCAGAAAAGTTGACAGGGGCATAGGTGGTCAGAGGGAAGTGGATACGAGGGTAGGGCACCAAGTTTGTCTGGAATTCTGTGAGATCAACATTCAGGGCCCCATCAAAGCTGAGAGGAGCAGTGATGGAAGATACAATCTGGCTAATAAGGCGGTTAAGGTTAGTGTAGGTTGGGTGCTCAATGTTGAGGTTTCTACGACAGATGTCATAGATGGCCTCATTGTCTACCATGAAGGCACAATCAGAATGCTCCAGGGTGCTCTGAGTGGTGAGGTAGGGTTCAACCACAGCAGTAGAAACCTAGGGAGCTGGGTAAATGGAGAACTCCAGCTAGGACTTCTTTCCGTAATCAACAGAGAGCCTCTCCATCAGCAGGGAGGTGAACCCAGAACCAGTTTCCCTGCCAAAGCTGTGGAAAACCAAGAAGCCCTGGAGACCCATGTACTGGTCAGCCAGCTTTCAAATCCTGCCCAAGACAAGATCAAGGATCTCCTTGCCAATGGTGTAGCGGCCGCGGGCATAGTCATTGGCAGCATCCTCCTTGCCTGTGATGAGCTGCTCAGGGTGGAAGAGCTGCAGTAGGTGCCAGTGTGAACTTCATCAATAACTGTGGGTTCCAGGTCTACGAACACTGCCCAGGGCACATGCTTGCCAGCTCCTGTCTCACTGAAGGTGTTGAAAGAGTCCTCTTTTCCCCCAATGGTCTTGTTACTTTGCAACTGGCCATCAGGCTGGATGCCATGTTCCAGAGAGTAGAGCTCCCAGCAAGCATTGTCGATCTGGACACTAGCCTAGCCAACGTGGATGGAGATGCTCTCACTAATACTTAGTCCTTGTAGTAGTCCGTGAAAACTGAGGGAGTGAAGAGAGGGTGACAAAGATCTCCCACTTGTAGACTACCAAGGAGTCCAGGGAGGAGAGGCTGTGTCACAGAATTCTTTACTAGAACCCAAAGTAGACAGATCGTATTTTGTGGCAGAGCCTGGAAGCATCTGCAGTAGCTTTCATTTAAACTATGGAACAGCAGAATACGATTCTGCATCACTTGGGCAGAGTGGCTGACAAGCACGGTAACACCAGGACCACTGGCTCAATCATCAGTTCTCTCTCTCTAACTCTGCTCTTTGCCTTTTCCCTACATTAGCATTCCATGGCTCAGGGCTAGAGTCTAAAGCAGAAACCCAGAGGGAAGGGACCTGCATCTAAGAATGGGTTTGTCGAGGTGAGCATGCTGTTTGTAAACCAAAACCACCATTTCCTCTTGTAGAAAGTAAGACTCAGACTGAATCTTAGAATATTTTTTAAATGCCTTTTTCACAACCATGTACTGGGAAGCCAATTTCATACTAAACTGATTAAATAATACATTTACAATCTGTAACTGTTTGTACTTACAGCCTTCTTTGTAAATAGAAACTATAATTTATTGTCTATTTTATATCCATTTTGCTGTAACATTTAAGGAAAGACCAGACTTTTTTTCTTTTAAAAAAAAAAAAAGTTTATTTAGAAAGTATAAACCAATTGTACCACTTGAGTTTTCTTTTAATACAAGACTCATGATGCAAAGCTGAAGCCACCGTGAGCTGGGCCAATAGAGCTGGTTTCCAAGGACCAGCTGTGACCCACACTTGATTACGTTCATAACGGGCTGGTGGGGTGCCTCTGCTCCTGATGCTTAGGAAGCAGACGTGGTCTTGTTTCGAGTCGCCTTGCCACACATTTTGTGCCAGGTGTTGACTTCACCCTGCCTATGGGAGGTGGTGAAGGGTCTGGGCACAAACATAGTGGTTCTGAGAATAAGCCAGGCAGAGGCATGGATGGCACAGGCTGCATCTTTGCAGGGTTAAGAGCAGCAGTGTCTAATAACCAGGATGGCGGGAACTGGAAGGATCTGTGTGGAATCCAACCCTGGGCTTCCTAGGCGAGGGCAGCCCTGCCGACTGCAGTCTTTGGTCTTGAGGTCAAATAAATCCCACTGCTCATACATTAGAAAGTCCTCCTTGAAGGTGGAGATTATAGAGCAAGCCTCTAAAAGGACTTCTTAGGAAGAGAACCAGAAACTGTTTCTAGGAAGGCCTGAGTGGAGCTGCAGAGTCTCCCTGGTCCTTGGACCTGGGAAAGCCTATCAGGTGAGGACCCACCTTGTGGGGCGTCCCACACCCTCCCTTTCTGCAGAAGATGTCTCCACACTCCACCCTATGCAAAGCAGGTGAGAGGATCCTTTAAACAGCATGAGTATTTGGGGCACACATCAGAAGTACCACTTGTTATGGCTTACCTCTCTCAACTAGAGAAGTAATAATACCCAGGAACCCAACAGTGGCTGTGAAGGGGTCTTCAGGACTATGGACTTTTGAAATCTGCACACCATGGACAGACATGTCACTAAGTCAACAGTGCCACAGGCCTACTTTCCAGAACTCAATTTGAAAACAAAAAAACAAAGAAAACAAAACAAAAAAACTGCTTCTGCGTGATGCATTTCCTCACATCCCCCAGGAGCCAACAGAGTTCAGCAATTTGGTTTTCCTTGACTGTATTTTTAGTTGCAAAGGGAGCCAATTTAATTCTGTCAGGAGAAGGTTACAGGGTGGATCGGCACTGAAATATTTGGTCTGCCCAGGGACCGTGAGCTATGATTAGAGAAACTTAAGGTCCGTAGTGTGTAGTGGCTCAGAGAGCACACAGGAAGCAACACAAGCTCAATACATTCAGCCTTCTGACTAACCACAGTGAAACCGCGCATGTCCATATGAGGTCACTCCTATGCACAGGGTGCATAAGGCCAGGCTGGATGACTTCACCAGGGGTGTCCTACAGTTCATCCTTTGCCTGGCGCAGAACAAAGCTGTGTAAAGAGTCGAGGTCTCTGCCTCCGTTGTGCTCACCCACTTTTTCACCTCCTCGGAAAAGCAGCAATGTAGGATAGCCTCGTACCTTTAAAGGAGAAAGAGAGTGCTTTAAATCACACACAAAGAGATGGCACAGAAGAGTACGCATTGAGGACTTGAGTTTGGTTCTCCAGCACCCATATACAAAACAGGTCCTGGTGTGCCCATCTAGAATTCCACTGCTGCTGGGGTTGAGACTGGAGGATGCCCAGAGCTTACTGGCAAACCAGCCCATCAGTGAGTTCTAGGTCCAGTGAAAGATCCTAAGAAAGACGTCTGATGTCAATGTTTTACAGTTCACACAGCACACCAAACCAAACCAAAAAAAGGGAACTGTTATAGGTAAGGTTGGGGAATTCTGTGGCTAATATCAGTGCTACTGTATGATTGGAGCCTTGGTTCCATGTCCCGCACTATACATACAGAAGGGGAATTATAAATGATGCAGACATAGCCCATAACATTGTATGATGAGCTCAGAATAAACACGCCAGTTAGACTGTCCAGCCACAGCCTTTTCCAAGGGTATTTTGATTCACACATTCCTTTCGGCCCCATCCTTCAGGATGCCCGTTTATAACTGAAGGCTGAGCCCTTGGGTGGTTAGGACAAAGCAGCTGCTGGCCAGACAGCAGGCAGCACCCCACTTTCAACACCTTGCATCTTAGGACTGTACTGCTAGACCCAGCAAGAACCCAGAGCTCCACTCTGAGAGGCCAGCCTCCTCTGCTGCAGAGGGTCCTTTATTTCTCAAACGGCACAACTCAAGATATGAGCCGTATCTCTAGGGAGGCCTGGGCAGTGTGTGTGAACTCATTCCATGATGCCGAGTGACAGTCCCCTGGGGCTCTGATCCAAATCTTCAGCTCCCCATCTCCAGGCTTGTTTCGCGTGAGGTACCCACCGAGTACTTGCTGCAGACATTGCGTTCAGCGGTGCAGTCTACCTCTGCGATGGTGACGTCTGACAAGCCTGGGAATTCCTTTTTAGAGAGCTCCTCCCAGGTAGGAGCCAGATTTTTGCAGTGGCCACACCTGGAAGAGAACAGAGACAGCTGTACTGATATCTGGTCAAGGTCAGTCTTTTTCCTGCATGACAGTCACCATACCCTCAGAAGCCACTGTAATCACCAAATTCTCCCGCTAAGTACTCATGGGCCCTTCTTTCCTCTCCTATAAAAGAAGTGAAAGTCATGCCACCCTTGGTAGCCTGACAGAAGGTTTGCAAAGAATGTAAGATTCTGATCCCACAGCATGGTGAGTGGCGCTGACACATAAACTCACTGTCAGCAGCCTGGGTAGCGACTCCTTGATACGTCATCCACATCAAAGAGGCCACAACAAAGCTTCGCTCAAATCTTCCCTTCTTTGCTGCCTTCCCCACTACAGGAGGGCCTTCTCTCTTCACTCATCTATCTATACAGCTTTGGGGGTTTTCTAAATAAAAAAGGTTAGTGGCATTATGTGGCAGCATTTCTCTTTTGTTTCTTCTCTTTGTAGCCCAGGCTGGCCATGAACTCACAGTCCTCCTGCCTTAGCCTCCCTGGTGCTAGGATTTCAGGCCTGAGTCACCACACCAAGCTGCCTTTCTATTCAAGGGCAAAAGTGCCCAACTCATGGTCACGTCCTCATTAGCAGCTCTCCTGTGTGCATGGAGCGAGCGAGCTGATGTGGGGTCACAGTGACTGTCGTGTATTTGATCACCTCCTCTATGTGCTGTGCCTGTTCAAGTGAACTGTACTTACAAAGACAAACTGTCAATGCAGTTTTAGAGCTAAGGAAACAGGCTCAGGGCCATAAACGACATGCAGAGCTACAGCCATCCATGAAAGTCACATAACCCATCCGACCTCTGGTGCCAGCCTATCTAGGTCTCTGTTGGCTCTCTGTCCACTGAGATTCTAGTCCCCGAGGACCACATGGCAAGAAGGTTCAGGTAACTAGGTCACTGGGTACTGAATGGCTGGACAAGAAAGCTGAGCCTACCACAATCCACCTCTGGTTTTGTTTGTGCCTAAGTAGACTGAGCTTTGAAAGTGAATTTGCATCTTTTCTCTATAAGATAACCGTTGCTGCACAGGGTACAGAAGAGTCATTTCCTGTAAGACAGCCTATGTGTAAGTGTGACTTCTACTCACTCCTCTGAGACACATGCTGTGACAGGGGGCACTGGCATACTGTCTGAGGCGGCCACTTACCACGGAGCATAGAACTTGACGAAGGTTATTCCCTGTGCAATAGTGTCCTCGAAGCTCTTCTCAGTGAGTGCCAGCACAGTGCCCTTCTGGGGAGGAAGGTCAATTTAAACACACTGATTAGAGCAAAGTGGGGCAGAAGATGGGGTCTGGCCAGAGCAGCCTACAAGTTATATGCAGGGCAGCCAGATCTCTTGATGGACAGAGACATTAGCACAGGGACCAGGGTACCAAGTCCAAGAGCTGCTGAGGGGTGTGGGGAGGACACTGAGACCTTTGACAGACCTCCCAATTACCTCTGTTCTACCCATAGCTAATCCATGGGCTTCTGGTACTGTATCCCAGGCAGAGCCGTGTGGACCAGTCCATTCTAGGCTCGGCCTATAGCTCTCAGGCCTGTAGCCCATGACGTCGCTGTGGGTCTGCATGAGCTCACATGCTGTTTTTCTCTCCTGTCCTACCTATCTTCAAGCATTTATCTCTTCTAGCCAACAGGGACCTAGCAGCACAGACATGGTAGGTGGCTTTTATTACACCCATACCAATGGGCTTCTGTGTACTGTGATTTATAAAAAAGTGTGAGTATGGCTATAGTTTCATGTAGGAACTTTAAAACAGTTCTATCTTAAAGAGTTCTTCATGAGATTGCGTCTATATTTCTCTAAAAGCCAATGTTCAGCAGCCCTCTCAGGTGCTGGGAAACATTCATCACACAACCTGGACCTCCAACAGGAAGTACATGGGGCCCATATACTTACTACTAATGCTACCATCCTATGTCCTGATAAGCACCCGTGTTCTCTGAGAGGCCAGCTTAGAGATGGAAAACTTTGTTATAAATAGCCATGAAAACACTTGCAGTGTGTAATTACCCTGTTATGGTCGATATACATGCTCCCCTAACATTGGAAGCATAGTCACATTTCTTAAGCCAAAACTTAAGGAATGGGTCCCTAAGCTTAAGGAGGCCTCTTGCTGCCCTGGCAGGGGCAGGGGCAGGGGCAGGGGCAGCAGACAGCACTGATGTATCCAATTTCCAAGTACCAGGTTTTCTTGAGTGATAGTTCCAACCCTCTCTCTACATGACGGGTATTCAGTGAGACACTGACCTCATCACAGGGGACAAGGCAGACGTACTACCCCTGACCGTGACATGAGACCCCCACTCCAGTGTTTCACTGTCAAGAGCTTAGTGCTGAGAGCTGAAACAACACCGTCCATGCAGTTATACCTTGGTACCCACAGGATGCTGGTGCCAGGGACCTCCCTATTCCACAGTCCAGGGTGTGCTCAATGGAAATGACTGGGCAATTTGCACAGAGTCTACACATATCCTCCCATAGACTTTAACTGCCACCTGCCGCTCACTGTGGCCCTCCTGCCCTGGTCCTGGGTCCTGCACCGACTGCCCACTGTTTTGTTTCCATCCTCCCATACGTACAACCTAGA